TGTACTTGCCTTTAGCACAGGGAAACTAGAGCAAAGTGCTGATTTTTAAGCTTTTCTTTTTGACACCACCTCATACTTCAGGTGATTGAATTCCAAGCATTCACTGTCTCAAACTGCATGAGGTATACAGTGTACTTAGGTCTAATGCTAAATCTATTCATACCTCAATCTGTTTTGATGGGGAATGAGGTTTTGAGTCAGGGCTGTGTGTGATCTGCAGCAGAGTTAACTTGTGTGTAGACCCCCTGCACTTTGTAATACTACAAAGTGACAAAGTGGAGGCGCTGTGTCAGTTTTGAATATAGTCTAAATTACATCCATTCTCTGAAATAGCACAAAGCTACATCATTCCCTTTATCTCCTAATTTGCTGCTGTGTTCGTTTTCTCCTCTTCCTCCATTTCTAACTGCCCATGTGTCCCCCCCTATGTGGGGACATAGATCCCTTTCTTGTTTTACACAAGTGCCATGTGCTCATAAAGAATTTGTTAAGGGGAGAGGAGGGGTTTAGGAGATGACTTCCACAGCTGGGAAGCATCTGCAGAGCAGATTGCGATCAGGCTGACCACATCAGCCACATCTCAGAACTGACGAGTTAAAAGGAGCGATGTGTGGTATCTCTGGCACCCTGTGCTTTCACCCCTCACCCCCCCTTTCATTCTGCCTGCAGGTTCAGGCAGACACTTCTGTCTCTGAAGCCTCAGTCTCCTTCACGGTCTGAGGCTCCAGGGTGAAGGGTGACTGGCCACAGCTTTCTTATGGAAATGGGGTCTTGCCTGGGGAAGGGTGTAGTGCAGGATTTTACTGTTGTATCATAGTAAGCGAGTTCTTCTCATTTCTAGTCCTTGACGATGTTGATCCAAATAAAGTGTACGTCCTCGGAGGCCTGGTGGATGAAAGTATTCACAAGGTGAGTAGTAGACTTCCAGAACCTGGAGGTGCCACCTGCCCCATTCACTCATGAGAGCAGAGACATCCCAGTGCTGCTGCTGCCCCCATTTGAGACATTGTTATTGTGCCACCATCTGTTTTTCCTGAAGGTTCTGCCTGGATCCAGCACCAGGCTGAGAGACTGCAGCAGTTGTGGTGAAATAAGCCCCAGGACAGTTTTTGGCTTTGTCGCTGCTTGTATCCAAAATTATGTGCATGCTATGCTTGTGTCTCTGTATGCTAGGCACACTGTTTCCCTTGCAGAAGCTGACTCTGCAAAGGGCACAAGAACAGTCCTTGCAAACAGCTCGCCTCCCCATTCGCGAGTACATGGTGAAAACCGCCAACACCAAGAACTACCATTCAGAGACCCTGGCGATTAATCAAGGTGAGAGGCTGAGCCATGTCCTATCACTTTCTGAGCAGGGGGAGGCTATCAAGCAGCAGAGGCCTCGTGCTGAGTAATGTGATAAACACTGGGAGCAGAGGTTTCTTTTACTAGGTTTTGTCCTTGCTGCTCCCATTTTAAGGTCTTGTGTGCTTCTCTGCATCAGCCTATTCTCAGAGAAGCAGGGCTGACTTCACTCTTGCTTTGCACAAAGCAGTGAACAGTTAGTGTGGGGAGATGTGAGGAGGCTGCTGTTGCTACAAGTCACACAAGGTCCCAGGCAAGGGAGGACAGAAGTTGTCAGGCCTGTGTCAGGTTCAGTCAAGGCTCACAACACCAGGATGGAGTGTTTCTGCACTCCACCACTCATCGCTCTGTGTCATTACCAGGGGCCAGGCCACCTGGTGACATCAGTGGATGTGCCCATGCTCCTCTGCTAGGGACTACGAAGGGGCTGCTGTCCTAGGCCAGCTCTATTAAGTCCTTACGTCTGGCACAAAGACTTTGTTGCTACCTCTGTTCAGCACAGGGCAGAGAAGGTGGTGCAAGGCTCGCTCTTAGAGACCACTGTCCCAAGCCCTGTGTGGAGCTGAGAAGCAACAGTGGAAGCACTGTAGGTATGACCAACTGTGGCGGTATTGTCCTCAGCAGCACAGATGAGAAGTGCAAGTTAGTCAGAATGATGATTGGGGGCACCTTGCTTTAGTTGACAGTGTCTCTACTTTTCCTAGCCAGAGCTCCCTGAAGTTACCTTCAAAATAGTTGTCTACTCCTAGATGAGCTGCCTCAAACATTGCTCATCAGGTTTTTAAATGAGAGGGGATGCAGACCCTATACTAACCTTCCCTGGCATCAGTTGTTGTCAGTTCCTGATGTTCTGCAGCTGGTGGGGGTGGGTATTACAAAGCTTGCTTATCGGTACCTGTATCACAGCACAGTACAGCTCTCTGTTTCTGACAGTCTTCGATGTCTTATCAACTTACTATGAGACCCGAAGCTGGCCAGCAGCCTTGAAAGCTGGAGTTTCTGCTGGAAAAGGCTATACGCTACCAGATGCAGTGAAATAAGTGGAAGTACTTCAGCAAGATAATGCATAAGAAAACTTTATTTGGTGATGTTGAACTGTGCAGACAAGAGTCAAACTCCAAACTGGAAGCAGAGGCACCAGCATGAATGTGCATAGACAAGACAGCTCTGCTTAAATCTTGTTTTAAGAACCTTGTCAAGAGTGTGACACATTCTACCTCAGCTGGGAATGATTCTTCTTGAACAGAAAACAGAAGCTCATGGAGCTCTGACATCAAGTGAAAACTGATTGGAATTCGGTTTTGCTTCTCTGCAGATGCTTGTTACTTTTACTCTTCCATCTATGCTTATTCTGGGACAGGGAGGAGAGCTTTAAGGTATTTCTTTCTTCTGGATTAAACAGTAAGTAAAGTGAAGTTAAAATTCCAAAGCTCACTGCTGAGAAAAATTTTTTCCCATGGAAAAGGACAGTGCTGTTAGATTTGGGGAATACAAGATGGGAAGTGATTCCCCAGTGGAGAAACAGTTCCCAGGTTTGCCATGTCCTAACAACTTTAAACCAGTTGCAGACTCGGTGAGTTGTTGAAGCCTATAGCTAGTCCTGTGTATCTAATGTAAAATAAAATGTTTACTCTTGAGTGTCCATTGCATCCTTGCGGTTACTGATGCGTGCATAGTCCATCATCACACACTATGTGTGAAGTTTACTAATCCTGACATTCCTCCTGGAAAGGTACTGGGATTGGACTGTGCCCTGCTCAAGCAGCAATGTATTTCACAGCCAGCAGAAAGCATTTTTGATGCATCTAAGTTGATAGTTATTTCAGCCATTGTTGCTAAAAAAAAAAAACCAAAACCCATACCCAAGCAGTTCATGGTCAATGACCAGTGGAAGGACTTTAATGTCTTCTGAGGTAAATTACTGTCATATGCTTATGTGTTTTTGTTTCTCCTTCACATCAAGATTTCTTCTACAACACCTGGAATTCAGTGCCCATGAGACAGCATCAGCAGGGCCAGCTGAAGCTGCTGAACACATAATGTTGCTCCACACAGGCTGAATTTGTGTCCGCTGTGCCCTGTGAGCTCTTCCAGTTCTTACTCTTCACGCCCCCTTGCTCATCAGCTGTTGGTATACAGTTAGAGGTTTGCAAGAGACTTCCAGATCCTGCTGGAATCCCTGAATTTGCCAGGCAGCAGCATCACTAACCTAACCCCCTCCAGTGCTGCCCTCCCCAGCGGCTGAAGGCACTGTGGCCACTGGGTCCCTGGGACAAGGAGAGCTGGCAGCCCATAGTTAGTGTGCTGCCTGCAGGCACTATGTGAGTAGCAGCTGTAGGGGATTTGGTGTAGGGCTGCTTAAGATTGCCAAATTTGTGTGGCTGTTACAAGCCTGCCAGGTTAGGGAAGCCTCTTGGGGATGCTGCAGCACTCCCTTCCACACCAGCTGCCAGCCTCTTCAATGGCAGGGTTCAGTTCCAAGGACCTGCCTTTTACTCCCTCTGGAAGCATTAAAGAATGAGCAAAATGTGGGGGTGGCTGATGTTACAGAGCCACAGGACTATCCTGTCCCCATGTTGCCCTGGTGCGTGGGGAGATGTGTGCATGGGTGAGCTGGCCACCTCTCATGGCCTGGCCCCCTCTGGTACCAAAACCTCCACACCGAGCCTGCTCAGCTGCAGGAGCTGACCTTCTGCAGCGAGAGCTTGTCCCGGGCACACGTATTGCTCAGAGAAAGCTGGCTGCTCCCAAACAAGCCCCTAAGTTGGATGCCAGCAGTGTGGGGGACCTTCATCTGCCCTCTTCATCTGTGGGTGCTGAGGCTGCGCCACCAGCACTGGAGTGCTGACACCACTGCATACAGCTGGATGGCCTTAAAGGGCAAAGCACTCCCACCGAGCTAGGGACATGCTGTGCATGGTGGAAGAGCTGTTGAAGAGGTTGGGAGAAGGGGCTTGCCCTCTCCTAGGGATGCCACCATAATGGGTCACCACTGCAGCTGTGAAGGTGGCATTTCAGTCTCAGGGCTTATGAAAGATGTGGATCCGTAAGTAGCATGGGGCTTAATAAGGGACTTTTTCAAGCACCAGCAAACAACGACAAGAGCAGACTGTATCAGAAAAGCAGGATACAGTGTTGCCTCCTCCCTGGAGACAACCCTCTTCAGCCCTTGCAAGGAAAAGCAGTTAAATACAGCTTTGCTTGTTCCCAAAGAGGATTCCATTCCAAGTCCAGACACATCCTCAGCCACAAGATACACACAAGTTACACTAGGTTCCTTCACGTTGGGCCAGGGTGGGATGTGGTGTCACTACTCTGAGTCTGCCTGGAGAGTAAGGAGGGGGAGGAAAGCCAAAAGGCTCCTGTCTCTCCACAGGCGACAGAAGGCAGCTAAGAGACTGGCCTCCTGCTGCTGAACTACTCTACGAGTTTGCATATTACATATGGATCATGTATACAGAATTACACAAATCTAAGCCGGAGTGCTGTGCTCTGTGCCATGACCACCCCCTGGACAGGGCAGCTCTTGGAGCTAAACCAACACACGTGGGCATGCCCCACTCTCAAGCTGTGGGGGAGAGCCTGGCAATGGACAAAGGGAAACATGGCTGGAGTCTTCCCCACCCAGTGCACCCCTCTGCCACCTCACAGCCCTGTCAAAACAATGGGGGTACCCTGAGTTGCTGCATGAGACAAAACATGGCGGCTGTAAAGGCTGTGTATTGGTGGGCAAGGAGCTTGGCACCCAGATCTGGGCAGCCCTGCCTGCAAAGCTGCTGGTTAACAGCCTGCATAAGCTGGCGGTAGGTGCCCACCACGTCAAGGACTGCAGCCCTGAGCTCTGGCTGCTGCTGCCTGCACAGCTGGCAGTGTGTCACCTGGAAGCAGGCCACTGCCAGATGAACCAGGTGGTCGAACGTCACTCGCAGCACATCCTGCAGCTCTTTGAGGGGCTGCTCTGTTTTCAGGAGCTCCTGGCAGCTGGACAGCAGGTCCTGGCAGGCTAAGCCAAGGGCACCCTTGCTCTCAGCGCCCTGCTCTGCACACTGATCTTGCATGTGGGTTGCTTGGTTCCCAGACAGCTTCCCCACAACCTCCTGAAGCTCTGTGGTGTAGGCCAGGAAGCAGGAGAAATCTGCAGGGCTCATACGTGCTTGGTCCTTCAGCTGGCCAAGAGCTTGGACATGCGGGTCCCACTACGCCACATCCCTAGCAAGGGAGATGGGATAACTGCCCACAGGGGTCCCAGGAAGACTGTGGTTGCTGGATGGTGGGATGGTGAGGGGCCCCAGAAACGTGCTGCACATGGGGATTGTGGTTTCACATTCCCTTTTCTCATCAGGCCCATGGAAGCAGTTGATAAAGGACAGCTGACAGCTGCATTTGTCCATCCTGAGCTGTGGAGGAGAGGTCTTCACTGTGGAAAAACTCAAAGGCCTGGCCAAGATGGGGTCACAAGGGGTCTGTTCATCCTTTGCGTGGTTAAAGCAGAGGAAGGAGTGCTTTGAAACCCCACAGTCTCCTGCTCTCAATGAGACCAAGGGAATTGGGTCCGAGGAAACGGAAAGCCCTAGAGATGGAGTCAGAGGACAGTCTTTTCCTACCTCAGTAGCCTGTTGTCTGGGAAGAGGAGTCTGAACAGGCTGTGGCTGTTCATGAGTCACATTTCCTACATCTTTTCTGGGCTCTCCTTCATCCAGTCTCTGGCTGCTTACCAGCTCTTCCTCAAAGGGTGGTCCAGCTGGGAATGTTTGCATCTCCCTTCTGCCAGCATCAGCCCCCAGGCACCCACTGGTCTTCTGAGAGGTCAAAAACCCTAGTGGGCGCTCTGTGCTTTTCTGAGATGGGCTGGGTGATGTGAGGTCTGTCCTCATTCCAAATGAGAGCCAGGAGAGGCAAGTTATAACCTCTGAAATGCTGCTGCAATCTGTTAAGAGCTTGGTTGCATCTGGAAAACCCACATGATTTTTATTGTGCGCTTTCCATAAACTCTGCTTGTTTACCACTTCTCTGCTTTTTGCCTGTAACAAGGCACTGTCACTGCTGTTTCCAGTACAGCTGTCACAGTTAGCTTTTCTCTCTTCACAGGGAGTCGGGACAAGCTCCTCACATGCTGCTCGCCTCCCAGCAGCGGGGAGCAGCTCCTGGTAATGGGCCACCTCACAGGGAGAAGCCACACTGGGACCCTGAGCTGATGGTGGCAGGGTGTGTTCATCAGCAGGGTAGGTCACATCTTGGCCCAGGAATGGCAGTACATCACCAGCCTTTTGCTGGGCTGCCATTGCCTCACCCACCTCCTCTAGTGCCACTTGGGCCAGCCAGCCTGCGGCAGCCACACAGCTCTCCACACTTTGCCACCCAGTATTTGCCTTCCTGGCAGCTCTGCTTTGTCCCCCAGGAAGGGGCACAGCTTCCTCTAGAGACAGGAAAGTTGGATGTACAGCATGTGCAGGTTGGCAGCCATTGTCCCCATGCATGGCAACACCTCCACTCCCCTCCCTGTGCTGGTCACCCTGCAGGCAAACAGCTGAAAAGGAAGAAACCACCGAATCAGTCACTGATTTGGTTTCCATGGTGTCAGGCTCCATTTCCAGCAGGTCAGAAGATAGGTTTGTGCCAGCAGCATCCCTCGGGGCCTGGGTGGCAGCAAGGCGTCCCACCTCTGCATCATTCTTGATGCTCTCTAAGGAAGGTAGAGCAGGAGGCTGAGCAAACAGTGGTGAGTGCAGTGGCCAAGAGCAGCAGCTCTGCAGAGAGCCTGGCAAAGCTAAGGGAGAAGTGACCTGTGAAGTATAATCAGTGTTCAGGAAAGATCTCCTCTTTTGCAGGCTCTTGGCATGTGTCAGCTCCTTATCCCTTCTGTGCTTCTCACTTGCTGTCTGCTTTGTCATCAGGTTTTCCCCCAGGCTGTAACACCTTAGTTTCTTTAGGGTGCAGGAAGAGTTGTCTGTACCCTCTGGGGATGTCATCATGTGGCCTGCTGGCAAGAAAAAAACCCATGAAAGTCAGGAAATAGCCTCAAGCAGCAGAATATCCATGCATCTGTGCAGTGGGCCGAAAAGCTAAGACAAGTCCTGCAACTGCAGACATCAATGTTTGGCAGCAAAGCCTGTCTCCCAAGTACCCAAGGAAGCTGTCTCTTATGTTACTGTGATCAAGCACCTACTTGGAATCAGTTGTGTCAAGAAAAATAGGCCTGGGCCTGTAGCTAGAAAGACTGAAGTCCAGGCTTTGTGATGAAGTGTGCTGAATAGTCTCTCTCTTTGTTTACTGGAGTCACTTGATCCGACTGCAGATGCAGCTGTAATTCTCATGTTAAATTTGGTGATATTAGCAGCACCTACAGACAGTACTGCCTACAGCTCTACGTTTATTAACACTGAATAGAAACATTATCAGCCTGGATATTTAGATGATAAAAATTTCCAGAGATTACAGTTTTGTGCCTGAACGTGGTATTGTTACTGTGCATGAACACAAAAGCCAAAATTGTTCTAACCACATAAAACAAATTCTTAACAAGTTCAGTTAATGTTGAAAGAGCCGATTATTTCAGAAACAAGAATACTCTCCTTTCTGAGAAAATACAACTACCAGGGAGCTCAGCCACAGGACCCAGTTACATAACATGCCCCCGACATGAAATTATTTTTGCTCTTGGGGATGCATGGAACAATACTACTAATACAAGAATATATAAACACACACACATATGTATATATGTGTGTGTGTATATATATATGTAAAACCCTAAACAGCTTTTAGCTAGCTGGCACTGCCTGCACCAAGGCTGACAGTCTTAATAATTTGCAGATGCTACTGCACACCCCCGCTGACTGTTCTAGCAGGGTGCTATTCCTAGGAGGGAATAACACCTCTAATGCTGGAGGATCCACCCGCTTTCTCCCCATCCTTTGGCAAGAAAATGGTTGGGGGATTTTTAAACCTTCTTCAGCTGAGACATGGTGCAGCTGCTGTTTTTTCTCTCCCCAGGTAAATATGGAGACATTTGCATCCACAAACAGTCTGTAATAGCCAATGATGAGGCAGACAAGATCTTTTGCACTGTTGGATTCCAGTAGCAGAGTCAGCAGCTTTTATTTTAGGGAGTGAGGGGTTGGGTGGAGAAAACAGTAAAAAAATGTTAGAATAGGCAAATATTGGTTTTACCAAAATCTGCAGGAACTTTTGCACACTGACAAGACATTCCCTCTCTCCCGTACCACCATCTTTGCAAGGTACTCTGTTTTTGCATGAGGCACAGAGAAAGAAGAGAAACTGTTCTTCTTGCATTTTGATATGTTTCACTGATGGAGGACAATGGAAGAACCACTTCAGCCACGTTGTATTCTTCCTACAAGCTTTCCCTTCTCAGCCTGTTCTAAGCCTTTTGTACTAACGACACCATCAGCTACATGTCAGATTTTTAAAAGAATAGATGGTGTGAATGACACCCACCCCTCGTTCTCTGGCCCTGACATAGCCCCATGCTGGCCATCATGAAAGTACTGCTTACCTTCAGGTCCTGCAGGAAGATTTTCACCATACTGATTTTTTCAGACTCCTCTATAAGCTCCACCCTGCTGATGTTTGCAAACTCTGCCAGACTGGTTATGATGTTAAGCTTATTACTGATAATCTGGCTCACCCCATACTTGGCACCCACCAGCAAGGCAATATACGATTCTTTGTCCTGTAGCTGTAAAGGGAGAGGTTAAAACTGTAGACAAAATCTGAGCAGGAACCCATGTATATGTGCTGGCAGGGACTCTTCAGTCACCCGATTTTGTGCCGTATCTTTCAACACTGGACTCTACAACTGAGCAGCAACCAGCTGCAAGGGAGCCCTGTGTTACTTACAGGCTATCAGGTCATCTGCTCCCGGCCATTCTCTTCTCTGGCTTGGGGGCAGCCAGCTTCCTGTGCCCCCAGAAATGCACCAGCCATCTAGCAGATCCAAAGAGGTGGTCAGCAGCAGGTAGCTATCAGAAGTATCACCTGGCAGGGTGTGCCAGATGGACCTAGCGAGACCTGCTGGAGCCGGCTAGAAACTTCAGGAAGGCATTTTTGGTTTTGGAAGAAATGTCAACACTTTCTGTTAGGATCAGACACTTAAAAAAATTTAATGAACGCCCATATCGTTTGGCAGAAATATTTCAATTTGCACACAAATGTAAACCTAAGCATTACAGCAACCCATTATTAAGGTCCTCCTCCGGTACAGAGCTACCTACACTGCTCAGCTACCTGTACAAAACAGCTTGTGGTCCACAGTTCAGTACAGATGCAAATGGACATAGGGAAAAAAAAAATCCAAAAAACCAAGAATCCTCTTGTGAAAGAGCAGCGTTCTTTTTCACAATAAGGTTTTAATCATGGCCAATGTCTTTTAACACACACCCCCCAATCTCCTAAGTACTTTACAACACTCAAAATCTTGAAAGAGCTCATCTGAAGAGCAAGAATCACAACTGTCTGTTAGAAAAAAATGAACATATTATTGTGTAGGCTGGTAACTCATTCACTTCTATGGAACAATGCTGAGTGATCCTAGTAGAGTCCCTTACTAATATTTATCATGATGTCCCAGTGCAGGGAGAAGTGCTATGACTGCAGTTGGCTGAAACAGCATCACTAGAGCTAATGTTACATTTTCTATGAGCATCAAAGCAAAGACAGGGACGGAGACTCAGCAAGAGGTGACTAGTCTTACATGAACAATCAATTTAGAAAAATATTTAACCATTTCTGTTTTAGATAGGGTTTGCTTTGGTTAAGACATGATCTTACTCACTGGTGAAGAAAAAAAGCTGGAACTGCCTCTTGTGCCCTATCTTTGCAGTTACTGCCCAAGTATACTGCTATAACAGAAGCACAAACCAAGGCAGTACGACTGTATGCCAAAATCCAATTACATTATTAAACAGCACTCGTACCATCAGGGTGGCATTAAAGATCTTCCCATTGTACATCTTCAGGTCTCCCAGTATCTGCAGGTAGCTCAGGCGCACTTGGACTGCTGCGAGCATATGCTTCATTTTGCAAGAGAAGAAATACTGTTTAGAAACATAGTATGCGAGTAAGGTTTGATGGGAAGCCTGTAGGCTAGAGGGTGTTCTTTTCATACACGGCTTAGTATTGGACCAGCACATTGAGCTTGGTCTGAACAGAAAATGGATGTGTGCAGGACCATCCCACATTACCACACTTGCTTGTGAGGCAACTCCACAAGCAAACTGCAACAGAAAACACTACACAGGATCATGAGGGTGTGTGCGCAGCAGAGGGAGTTACAAGAGGACAAGATAGGAGAAAAGCCTCAAGTGGGTCCATAGAGGAGACCCACAGAGGAAAGACATTGCCTCTTTGGCCCTGAGAGATGCTGCCACCATCCTGGGAGGCGCCGTGAACCCAGAGGACACACACTACCTTCTGCTGAGGGTCCAGTAGCACCTGGTTCCGCTTCATGTGGTAGCTGATGGCTTTCTTGATATCCTTCCCTCTCATGTTTCGAAGCAATGTTGGTGAGATGAAGTTTTCAATTCCCCAGTCTCTCCTGCTGGAGAGACAGGAAGGGAGCAAAGGGGGTACCAGCTATCCCCCAACACCACAGGAATGTGCAGAAGGGCAGCTGGCCAGAGGCAGAGAAGGACAAACACACCATGCCAGTCCAGGATGCATTGAGCCTCAGGGTGCTGTAACATGTCTTGATGGCTCATGCAGCTGAGGACTGCCTCACTCGAATACATAGAATCGCTGGATGGTTTGGGTTGGAATGGATCTTAAAGATCACCTAGTTCCAAACTCCCTGCCATGGGCAGGGACACCTTCCACCAGACCAGGTTGCTCAAAGCCTCATCCAGCCTGGCCTTGAAGACAGCCAGGGATAGGGCATCCACAACATCTCTGGGCAACCTGTTCCAGTGCCTCACCACCCTCTCCGGGTAGAATTTCTTCCTGATATCTAATCTAAATCTCATCACTTTCAATTTAAACCTGTTACCCCTTATCCTGTCGTTACCTGCCCTTGTAAAAATAATTCACTTGTATGTGCATCTGCTACCCTGTCAGGAGACAGGGTTGGAGAACATGTGCTTCCATGCAGAATGCCTGTTTCTACATGATTATACAGGAGACATTCTACAAGCTTAGTCAGCATAATGGTCTCAAACCTGTCCTTGCCACCCAGAGGATGAAGATTCTGGCTGTACATTCACTTTACTTTGGTTACAAGACTATTACATTTTAA